AAGGAATTTGAAGGAATTGCTACGAAAGAATGCCACCGTATTTTGTTGGTACAGAATACTATAAACAGAAGACAACCATTAAATATTTGAGCACCTTCACTCTAAAATACCTCTATCTAAAAAGAATTTCCTGACCCCTTTTTATAGAGGCATTTCTGAAGGTCTTCGAATTTGGATGAACTTGGATGCCAATTCGGCGTGAATTTGCTGGAACCGCATTTTATGGCAGAACCAGTTCTCATTGTTTTTGTGCATTTTAAAGCATGAGGCCCTATGCACAAAAGCTAGACCGCTTTAAAACTGCTGCACATTATCACATAATGAATTGGCACCCCGATGCATAAACGAGCAAGGAAGATCATGAAAAGAACCAAGGACCATGAACATAATTTGAAACGAATATGCACGGAAATTCGATATGATTTCGAAAAATGACAGGACATACAAGAAAAATGGAATGACTTGAAGGAAAAAGGGAAGGAAACTGAAGTGACAAGAGAGTAAAATGAAAGGGACATGAAAGGAAGATGAGAAGGAAAATGAGACGAACGGAAAGGGAAACCAGAGGAACATCAGAAGGACATGAAAGAAATTGAAAGAACAAAAGGAAAGGAGGGAAATTAAATAAGGTGAACGTAAAACTAAGATATGATTGACGGAAATAGAGGGAACATGGAAGGAAGTGAAAGGAAACTGACTGGATAATGAAAGGCATGAAAGGAATGTGAACACGAAAGAAAATGCTTTTGTATGAGTGTATATTTGTTTTTTTTCAATATTCACACATATAAATTGTGACCACCATGGTGACCAAGGTCATGCATTCCGAATATTCTATCTGTGAAGATTTGGACATGGCATGCAGGGACAATGAAAGGATATGGATATGAACAGAATATGAACAGATAATGGAAGGACATGGAAGTAACGCGCATGAAAGGAAAGTGGAAGGAAATGAAATAAACACAAATAAAGTAACGTAAAATGAAAGGAAGATAGCAGAACATCGGAAGAAATAACGAATTGAAAAGAAGCATAAACTGGCATAAACATCCCCGTGGCAATTTCCACACTAGAAATGGATGACTTGTGCATAGTCTAAGCGAGATCCGTAATTTTTTGGGATTTCAAAATTGAAGTCAGGTTAGTCATTTTATTGTTAAGGGGTTGGTCTGAGCATTTTATTGGCCAGGGAAATCCTGATGATTTTTAACATGTTAAAATTCCATTCTAATTTTATTGCAACAAATTGCGTGTTTGGAGCACTTGATTGCAGAATGGAACCAGTGCTTTTCGAGGATCTCTTTATATCAATTTTATTGGGCATGTCATTTTAGATCTGCGAATTTTAAGGAATTTGAAGGATTCCAAGGAATTTTAAGGAAATTTAAAGGAAATTTACAGGAATTTGAAAGGAGTTATAAGGAAATTCAAGGAATTTAGGGAGTTTTAAGGACTTTGAAGGAATCTTAGAGGAAGCTGAAGGAATTTTAAAGGAATTTGACGGAATTTGAAGGAATTCGAATGATTCTAAAGGATGTTAAAGGAATTTTCAGTTTTTTTTGGAATTTAAAGGAATTTTAAGGAATCTTAAAGGAATTTCAAGGAAGTTCAAGGAATTTGCAAGAATCTTAAAGGAATTTGACGGAATTTGAAAGATTTTTACGGATTTTAATGAGTTTAAAGGATTTTGAAGGAATCTTGATGAGTTTTTTGGATTTGTCAGGAATTTAAAGGATTTTTAAGGAATTTTAAGGAATTACTGCGAAAGAATGTCACCTTATTTTGTTGCTACAGAATGCTATAAACAGAAGACAACCATTAAATATTTGAGCACCTTCACTATAAAATACCTCTATCTAAAAAGAATTTCCTGACCCCTTTTTATAGAGGCATTTCTGAAGGTCTTCGAATTTGGATGAACTTGGATGCCAATTCGGCGTGAATTTGCTGGAACCGCATTTTATGGCAGAACCAGTTCTCATTGTTTTTGTGCATTTTAAACATGAGGCAATATGCACAAAAGCTAGACCGCTTTAAAACTGCTGCACATTATCAAATAATGAATTGGCACCCCGATGCATAAACGAGCAAGGAGGATCATGAAAAGAACCAAGGACCATGAACATAATTTGAAACGAATATGCACGGAAATTCGATATGATTTTGAAAAATGACAGGACATACAAGAAAAATGGAAAATGACTTGAAGGAAAAAGGGAAGGAAACTGAAGTGACAAGAGAGTAAAATGAAAGGGACATGAAAGGAAGATGAGAAGGAAAATGAGACGAACGGAAAGGGAAACCAGAGGAACATCAGAAGGACATGAAAGAAATTGAAAGAACAAAAGGAAAGGAGGGAAATTGTATAAGGTGAACGTAAAACAAAGATATGGTTGACGGAAACGTTTTGATTTTTTTCTAAAATGACAGGACATAAAAATCAAAGGCACATGAAATGAACATGAAAGGAAGTGAAAGGTACATGAAAGGAGCATAGATACAAGGAACTAGAAAAACATTTGGAACCATAGGCTGGGAACATGAAAGGAAAACAGAAGGACAATGAAAGGAAGTGAAAGCAATCATCCTTTGGCTGATGTTACAGTTGCTACATTGTCAACCTCACTTTACAATACTTTACATAGGTATGGTGCAATCAATATTCGTGACATATTTGTACCCTCAGTGGAAGCACTTTACATAGGCATTGTGGCTATTTATGGCTATCTATACCCACTTTTTTGAAGCACTTTACATAGGTACGGCTTGTTGTTTTACCGGGTCCGTGGAATATTCTATCTGTCTTATGAAGGTATGACAGAATTCTATCTGTGAGGATTTGGTGTTTAGTACTCAATTTTGAATATTCTATGTGGTAGAAATGCCCTATACTTAGACTATTGAGCCTATTTGGACCACTCTCTAGACCATTCAGAACAATCGCTAAACCGTTTCGTGATTTGGACAATTTGCTGGACGATTTAGAGTAGTTTAGACCATCCAGTAAACCAATCGACCGGCTATGAAACCATTCGACCTAAAACCTAGACCACTCGGCCCCTGCTTTATCCATGAATCCATCTGTTGGTCCATTTTTGACCGGTGGTTGGTGTATCCAACTGTGAGTTCTTGTAATCACATTCTCCCAGGGGCCCTTTTTTTTTGCCACACAAACATTGCGAGTGTTGATCAAACACACTTGCATCGTTTGCATCATGCTCTGGATTTCTACTGCTAAATGGAATGACTGTGCCCCAAAAGTGATGATTTCCCGTAGAAAAATAAAAGCATGTCCATTTTGTAGAAAGGATGACAAATTGTTACGTATGCATGTTTGAAAATTTACAGATTGCACATTAATCAATCGATAGGCAATCTCATGAAGTAAACCATTTTCTCGCATTTTTTTCCTCTATGTTGTCGGCAGCAATTTTTGAAAGTATACCCAGTCAGGAGCAATTTAAAAAGGGAATGCGATTGACAAAGGATTTTAACGGAAGAAGACGTTTGGGATAATTTTTGGCCCTAACAAAGGGGGGGAACCGCCATACATTAAAATAAGGAGCCTGTGCGTTTTCTATCCGCGTTTGTGTTCTTCAGGTTTGAAATACGCACGGCCGTCTTAACAAAGCAGTCATACATTACTCCCCCTTATATGGGATGTGGTGGCCGGTCATCAGGAAAATTAACATAGACATAGAAAAGCTAAAACTGCCTCAGACACACCAAGCAAAGACACTGGCACGCTAACATTAAAAAAGAACAGTTTAAGATGTTTCAAGAAAACGGACGTTCTGGATAGTGGAGGCATGATTATCCTCACAAATCCTCTTGCAAAAACACCGTCCCGTGAACCAACTTACCCCACATGTTCAAAACAAATTTGAAATATGCGCAGCTGCGAAGCAGCGACAAAGAGACACTGCTTGCACACACCTTGGTGTGACCTCCCATGGGTCAGAAGCAACATATGTGCAAAATCAAATTTTGGTAGCCCAAATTGATGGTCAAATTACGCATGTGTTCCAGGCCACCTGGGGGGCATCCTAAGCTTATTTTCTAGATCCGCACCGGAATCAGTACATCACCACAGCACACTTATAGATTAGACAATATACAAGAACGACAGCAGAGCCAGCAAACAGCACAGTACAATTCCGGAAGCTTTGACACGCCGTGTGAAGAAGTGAAAGGATAAGAATTAGAATAGGATTACAGCATCAAGAGACAAAACATGCGACAAGTTGCAGTTTGAGCTGGCTGCTTTGACACGCCGTGTGCAGAAGTTGCTGGTGAGTTGGCACGCCATGCGCGGAAGTCGCTGAAGCTAGCACACTTCACATGACATTTCCGGAAGCTTTGACACGCCGTGTGAAGAAGTGAAAGGATAGGAAAGAGAACATGATGACATCGTACCCAGAGTCGACACGCCATGCATTGTAGTCGCCGTTCGTAGCCTGCAACTTAGTATTTTTGCCCATTTGCACAGATTATGCCTTTTGAGCTTATACTTGTTTCTTTGCAGTTGTTTCTCTTTGTTTTGCAGCGACGTGTTGCAACGAGGTACTTGCGCAGCCGCCACGACAGTGCCTGAAATTTTCAGGTGGATTGCTAGCAGTGTTGCGTGTTGTTATGTGTCACATGTCACGAAGTCAGGCAGCAATGACCACCGCACATCACATCACAATTATAGATCATACAGGAGATTATGCCTTTAGAGCTTACACCTGTTTCTTTGTAGTTGTTTCTCTTTGTTTCGCATCGACGTGTCGGTAACTTCGTTGCAACTTTGTGATTCTTGCCACGAGGTGCTTGCTCAGCCGCCACGACAGCGCCTGAGATTTTCAGGTGGATTGCTAGCAGTGTTGCATGTTGATTATGTCGCGTTGCACAGTGAGCTGTCTGTTGGTTGTTTGATGGCTGTGTTCTCTGTGACTTTTCATTTTGGGGCTCTATTTTAGCTGTGGGACTGAAGTGTCACATGCCACACAAGATGCTCAGCCATCATAGTTATAGTTCTTGTCCCAGTAGTAGTGGCGTTTCTGACCTGGGCGATAGTCTTGGCGATAGTCTTGGCGATAGTCTTGGCGATAGTAGCTCTTTCCCTGGTTGTAGTAGTCACCCCAAGACTTGTCGGTGTCATCCTCGATCGCATCATCATTGCCCCAGCCTGTCCATGACTGGTCATAAGTCCATTCCTCTGAATGAACCACCTTCTGTGACCCTGACTCCCAACACGCCTGCGCAGGCTTCTGGGCTGGCCTGGCCTTGCTCGATGGCCTCATCTCGGGCAAGGCTCGCCGAGACTCAGAGTAAGAGCCGCATGTGGTGGCGGTTGGTTGATTATCATCCTCGATCACCTCAACCGACTCTTCATCATTCACCTCAGATTGGCGCTCCGGGTCTGGCTCGAAGACCCTTGGTGGAATGACCTTTGGTGCACTGGTCTCGTTCTGGTTCATGGTGCCATTGTCATGTCCAGGCGTCACAGGTCCAGGAATCACTAGTCCCGATCCCATGGTCATGGTTGGTGAAGGTGAGGCCGCTGGAAGGTTTCGCTGCTCAGGCTGCTCAGGCAAGTGCTCAGGCCCAGGCTTTGCCTGCTCAACCTCAGGCATTCCCATCACAGACTCCTTCTTTTTGACAGTCTTCCCTGCAGAAGGTATCTGCTGCATCTGCTGCACCGGCTGTTGAGGGTGGGGCACAGGTGTCAGGAGATGCTCAGGTATGGTTTCCGGGACCCATGCCAAAACCCACTGCCATGACATGTTGTTCGACGGACCTCGCAACAAGGTCCTTATCGCGAAAGCTTTTGGGCCACTGCTTGAGAAACATAAAACGGCATATAATGAACTTGAAAGTGGCATGCACTACATCGTGTTTCTTTAAATTCATTATCTAAAATGTCATGACATTACATTAAAGTTGAACATGAATCACTAACTAATGGTATATAATTAGTCACTAATTAGTCACTAATAATTAGTAATTAGCCAGTGTTTCATTTTCAACTTTAACTAGTACCAACAACCACAATTCAATGTGACATATTTACATTCTGTGAAGCCACTCCCGCTCACAACAGCAGCCCCATGCATGTCGGTCCAGCGTTGTGTCGCTCTTGTGGTCACAGGTTTCCAAAGTAGCCGATTCCTAGCGCAGCAGATCGCAAAGATAAAGCCCGAGCATAGCGATATGATAAACTAATAATTATGAATATTATAAGGTCGCACACAATAATATACAGCAAAGAGTCAGTGTTTAATAATGAATAGTTGTTTCGATTCTATTTGGTTGTTACAAGTAGAAAGTAAGTAATATTAAATTGGTCAGTGTGGTAATTTTGAAGCCAAAGAACAAAGAATACGAGTGAACTTGGCTGCAGGCCTGATGAACTCCATGATCTTCTTGATAGATGCATCCTGGAGGCAGGGAGTCAAGGGCAACCTTGGGCCGGTGCATGTCTGACATGCCTAGCCTGATGGTCCATCTCCAAAACTGCCGCGACTTCTGCATCCTGAGCCGTTTGCATGGCATCTAACAACTCGTTCATAGACACACCACCTTCCCTTTCGGACTCGCTGGATGACCCTGAGCGATCATCCTCTTGTTCAAGGCCATCTTTTGCCTTCGTTCCTTTCCTTTTTCTACCACCGGCCCCGGTAGATTTCTTTGTCTTCTTTTCAGATTTCGCAGTCTTGCTTTTCTTCTCTTTCTTCTCTTTTTTTTCTTTCTTTGCACTTGCAGCAGGTTCATCGTCCTCATCCTCATCATCTTTCCGATTTCCTTTGCATACACCTAGAAAAGAAGCATCATCATCTTCTTCCTCATTTTTCTTAGCCTTTTTCTTGGGATTGGGTTCTCTACCAGCTGGACGCTTCAAGGGCACCTTGGGGGATTCTTTCTGCGGCACCTCTTCTACTCCCTCTGATGCAGCTTGATCAGAGCTCCCAGACCCGGACAGGTCGCAACGCTGCAGAACTCCTGCTGCAAGAGGACGGTGGGAGAGGAAGTGTGGGGCAGTGTGGGGTCATCACCATCAACAACAATAGCCATAGTTAGCATCATCACCTGCGCTTCAGCATGAATCAATGTATGGATTGCCTCTGAATGCTATGTTCAATCTAATAGTCTAATAGTATAAATTAAATAATATGTTTAAACTATTAGTTAGTAACGGAAGATCGAATGTCCACCAATAATTTCAATCTTTAGTTACTAACCAAAAATTATGTCACAAAGTTGAAAGTCTCCTGATGATGATGAAGCTTTGGAAATCACCGGTGGAGCACTGGGACGAGTCGACGTTCCCCGTGGCATGGATCCATCTACGATAGTTTGGTAGTCAGACAAGCGAAAGGCAGGATTGGCAATCACATTGCCTGCTACCCCTGCCCCAGGCCGCGACATGGCTTGGCTGTGCGGGGCCCCAAGGCTACAGCCAGCCACCTTGACACCATACATTCACAAGTCGATGTAACATGACAATGATCACAGATTATGATTAATTAATTAATTTCCTATATCATATAATAGCTGTTACTATGTTTCAATTCAATGGGTCTGAAGATTTTTGACATATAGGCCATATGGCTCGCTAAGTTCTCCAGTTTCAGATTCCCAGAACTTGGGACGTTTTTCATCTTTCTCAGCCCCAGCTCACAGCAGGGTCAGACAAGGTTCAGTCCACGGCCTCTGAAATCTCTACATCGCTAAGATGCAACTGCCCCCCAAAAAAGGCTGAGGCCGCTTTAGACAAACTTGAACAACTTACCAATATTATCAACTTTGAGATTTTTGTGCCATGTTGTATGGGATTACCACCACTGGTTTTGATCATGTTCAAAGCGGCTCAGGCCTTTTCAGCCCTTTGGTGATTGAAGAGGCCAGGACCCGGAAGCAACTCCCTGTCAGGGTTTTGATCCCTGCTGATCTTGAACAGAGTAAGATCCAATCCAATCATGGACGTTCTGAGTAGAAGATCCTATATGTCAGCATCCTTTTTTATTGCTCATTCATGGCAAGGACATGATGATGTTGGACTCGGCAGCCTATGATATTATTATTACAATGGTCGGAACCCATTTCCGTTTCCATCTCAAAGATATTATTAGGATGCTGAGCCATTGAATCACAACAGTTTCAAAAAGTTGTTCGGAGTCAGCGACACACTCCCTGCCATCACTGCACACGGCCGGACAGGAACAAGCATCGTCGATGGCCCACCGTTGGAGCCAGCTTCCATGTGGATCCTGGATCAGGACAGTACGGGAATGAAGTGTTTTTTTTTTCAGATGAGGTCATTAATAAATAATAACGGTTGCTATTGTGAGATAATAACTAACAATACTGAAACTATTTATTATTATTGGTATAAAGGGTCCAAGTTCATGAGAAAGTATAAGGTGTACTTTGAGGATGAAACTGAAACAGTTTCATGAACATGAACGGGCCTCAACCTCCAAAGAACCTTGATACTGCTGTTGGTGCGAATCTTGGCCATGTTCATCTTGGCCCCAAAAGTCAGCGCGTTGGTTGCCTGTACATTGCATGTAACTAGTCAAGTTTATCAACTCACAGTAGGGAACAGTTCATGAACAATTCGAACTAAGCGCTGGATCGACAAAAACAGCAACAACAAGAACAAGGACAGCAACAACATGCAACCACTAACTGTAACTACAACAAAAACATCCGCTACCGCTACTGAGTAATACTCACAATAAGTTTCCCCCATCTTCGCTTTCTTCCTCCTGGGATTCTTCGAGTCAAGCACGTAGCACACCCCACCAACAGGCTCCACGCTGAAGTTGCCAGCGTCATTCTTGGAAAGATCATGCTCTGCAAGCTTCAAGTTCACTTCGCCGTGATTCTCCAAGCTCTTCAACAGATCGTTCAGCGGCATCACCTGCCGTATAACATAATGAAGAAACAAAGATAACAAGTCAAACATGGTTGACATCATTAAAAAACAGAAAGTAAAGCCTGATTCCAGAAGCTGGCGCTTTCCAAGTGCTCAGGAGTCTTTCGCTGTTTTTCCAAGATGACATTCTCACTGGGTTCAGTGAACTTGTACAAGAGCCACCTGCCAGTGTCGGATGTGTCACTCATGACGTCAGCCCCCTCGCTGTCTTTGGCATAGTCACCACTGCCAAACCCAAAGAGCTCAGCCAAAGAAGGCACAGTGTAGGCAGTCGAAGTCGCTGAGATCCAGAGCGAGTCACCATCATCACATAGCGACAAGCTGTACTGAGCAGCAGTCAGCTGGATCCTGCAAACCAACAACAAACAGGCAAAATCAAATATGTTTGTCAAACATAACATTACCATGACGAATGCGCAGCGCAAACATGACACAGTCCTCTCAGAGTGCTTTGAATCCATCTCCTCTGCAGAGAGTGAAGTAGCCAAGCACAAACGTTTTGTTGGCTGCTCCTCTGTCTCCTCATCACCAGCCTCTTGGAATGCGAGGATGAAAGTGCATAGCATATACCGATGGTTTGGAAACATATAGGAGTCACACGTTCTGCAGATATCTGCATACATGCATGCGTTCATACGTCTATGTGATATATATATATATATATTGCTAGGGTCACGGAATGCTTAACACTATGATTTGGTTCTGGCTATAGTTCTGGGGGGGTGTCTTGGTTGGTCGGGGAGGGTGTCCCACTTCTGGGTTGGGGTGTTTTGGTTTTCCGGCTTGGTGCAGTGAGGCGGTAAGGTCTTGATAGTGAAAAACATTTGTCGCAAAGTTGCCTGGCAACTTTTTTTCCATGGCTTTCCATGACAGTTTGTAGATTCTTGTGCCTAAATCACTTGGAAAAAGTCATTGTTTTCTTGTATGGGATTGTGAAACCATCCGGTATCAAAATTCAAGACGCCAAAATGGATGGCAAAGATGTTTGCTAGCAAAACTTCGTTACCAAATCAGCGTGGTATTTCTTTTATGTATGGAAACATTGCCTTATATCCCTTAAACACTTGAAGCCAGCCTTAGGAAATGGAATCACATCGCCCTTTTACGTATTGCGTCAGTTCAAAAACGACATGGGTGTTGAATCAAGCTGCGCAGTTTATGTTCCTTTTGGTCTTTTGGCAATGGCAAACCAACAGGGAAATTACAAGTTGGGGCGCTTTGTGTTTAGCAAGTAAGGTATTATCCGTGTAGCAACAACCTGGGGGAAACCGTGCAGGTTGTCCTTGGTTTTCGTTTTGATGTGCAAACAAACCAAACAACCCCCGAAAGAAAATGAATGAATGTAATGCCCGTTGTGCTGTAATGTGCTTGTTCAGGCAACCATGTGGATATGTTCTAAGATAGTACATGTTCAAAACAGACCTGAAACAAATGTGCAGTGATGTTTTTCCACTGTCTGGATTTGAGCTATGTCAAGGGTAGTATCTATTCCAACAAACGTGAAGCCTCACACGTCAGTTGAAGTGCCTATGGGAATCTTATATAATATCATATATCTCATGAACATTTTACATCTCGAGTGTGGTGGGTGGGTGCATGTGTTATCCCGGTGTGTTTTTTTAAAAGATTTTCCAAGCTATAGCCCAATAAAACCAAAATAAACCCAAACAATGTTGGGCCTCTCAAAAGCCTTTAATCAGCGGCATGCCATGACAAAGAAAATTTGGGCATCTCCCATGCTGGCTCAGACTTGTGGTGCGTGAGGCACGTGAAGGGAGCGAAACTGAGACAAAACAGCAGAGACATCAACGGGTTTCGGAACATTTTCAAATTTGTGACTTGGGAACTCGGGGGTTGCAATGCCTCTTTCATCGCTGTACGATTCGGCCGGGCCATCTCCAGAACACGACTCCAGGACCCCATGAACATGCAACATTGAAACATGAAATGTTTGCAACTTGACATGGTTTCAACATCTCCTCATTTTTTGATGTTTGGCAACGTGCGCACTTCTGGTGATACCTTTGATGCACGTTCAGCCATAAACTAATTATCCGGCCACTGTTCCATGGGATCGCCGTAGCCATAAGTGAATATCATGGCTTGTTTTTTTGAGTCTGGCTTTTGATGGCCCCAAATGTCCAAGCCTGGTGCATCTCGCAGGAACATTCGCAGTGAATCAGGATCAAGATCCAGATCAAGGACCGATGAAGCAAACTGCAAATCTTCAATGTGTAGGAAGCTTATCTCATGTGCAGTGGTCCCAGCTTCCAGCCGGCGGACGTGTTTCAAATAAGAATTCGGTATCCTGGATGTTAGACATGTGTTGATAGTATTCAATCTGATAAGGTGGTGGCCTTACTTTGCATTGTCCCGTTGGCAATCTCAAACACAAAAACATGCTACCACCCCACTCCGATTTGTCAACAGGAGCCGCAGCCCTACGTTCTGGGAGCTTCCGGACACGGTAGGCTGCCGCAAGCCGTCCCTAGCTTGGAGTTTGTTTCTCTTTTTTGGCCAGTGGCTGCATTTCAAATCCAAATTTTAAAAAAACAGCTAAAATGGACCCCCGCCCCGGGGGGGAGGGGATGGTTCCTATTTAATCTATTTAGGCTACGTGTTTTTGAACACTGAAAGACAATGCGTTGCAGCAACCATTCTTTGCGAAACTCAACTTTCCTTAGCGCAATTCTTGCCAAGCTCCCATCTCAGGTACGCACTTGATTGGGTAACGAGAAATTTGCGATCTCTGGGTTTGGGCACTGAGATTTTTTTGCAGGAGTGTGAGCCTTTAGTTCCTTGCCATCATCTGAAGGAGCAGGAATGGCGTGATGATTTCATGGCATAAGATGGGAGGGAGAGAGAAAGAGAGAAAGAGAGAAAGAGAGAAAGAGAGAAAGAGAGAAAGAGAGAAAGAGAGAAAGAGAGAGAGGGAGTGCAACAAAAAGGAGAAGCACAAAGAGAAACATATGATATGCACATCGCGTGCGTCGCATTTTTATTTTGCACACATTTGAATACAAGTGCTCAAAAACACAGCTATTACTAAAAAGTAAATAAAGCAAATACGATTCGCATAGGATCCCAAGATGCATACACGGAAATCCATACATACCTTTCTCCTTTCAAAAACACCGGATTTGAAAACAACACCACAACACTCTTGAGACCCCATAATTTGTGGCTACACACAAGTCCTGCCATCCCATCACCTCTGCAACTGGCATGTGCACATATTCCACCATATTTCGAAAATGAGGTGCTGGCAACGGCATGTTCTTGCTCGGGAGCACCAACGCATGCTTTGCAGATGATCTTGGGGGGCTCGGAGAAGGTCCGGGAAGTGTGTGCTTCTGAGAACCATGTGTTTTGGCAGCAGTGCCAATTAGCAGGGGAATGGGCTACGGTGCTGCGGTTTGGGTCATGGGGGGCCCTTTGCAGGTCTTATTTTTCGAAGTTAGTTTAGACAAGGTCCTTACGAACAGGCAAAAAGTCAGCCTCCATTCTTGAGGCCTGCGAATTGTTGGCATGCTGTTGCATGACTCACTATCCAGCGATGAATCCCTAAAATGTGAGATCTTGTGTTCACCGGCTGTTGGCAATGGCCAGACCCTTTGCATGCTCTGAGGCCCTCACGCGGGAATTCTTTCTGAGCAACTACGAAGTGGAAAGGTGCTTCGGTGACATGCAATGCGAGAGGCGGGCCAGTAACGTTGCTTTGCAGTGCTTCGTGCAGGTGGCATGAAAATTGGGGTCATTGACACTGATACCATTTGATATCATGATTACGCAAAGTCCTTCATAATCCTTCTCTCTCTCTCTCTCTTTATTTTACAACGGATATATAGTGCTATCATTGATGTCCGGATTTCAGCACAGTATGCTGAAACATGATTGGCATTGGCCTTGGCCTTGCCGCATGGTGCAAGGATTGGTGGGCAGTGCTTTGCGAATTCAGCAGTGATAGGGCCACTCCCTTCCTATGACCAACCTGATACTCGGAAACAGCACACAGTTGGAATGCAAGTATTGTATTGCTGCGTTTTTCGCAATGTGCCTGCAAAAACTATTTTGGTATGACCTGCAACCTTGGCGTTTCACGGTCCGCACGGCATGGCATGGCTGTGCTGCGGAGATTTTCTTTTGACGTATCTCAGGAATTTGAGAAAGAGGACTTATATGCATGTGGATTTGTGTGCAAACTCTTCAGCGCAGAGAGCAACCTGAGATATACACACGCTTCTGTTGAATCCATGTTCGCCCAAGACCAATCGAATTCCCATGCAGCTTGCCGTAAGTTCTGCTGTTGGGCCTCTGGGTTCCATCCAACATCTCTGATTGATTGTTTTGGGGGCCAAGGCCCATGAGGGTACATGTCTGCTCCAGGGGCGCTTGACTTTGGAATTCCTAAGTCCCACCAATGACAGATGGGGCACCGTTTTTCGGCAAAAGCTACATTTAATTCCCCTTCATCTATTTCATCCTGTTTTCGACAGTGGCTGATCGTACAACTGCTGTCCTCCGATGGCACAACGCTCAGGCCAAGAAATCCCTGCCATTCATCGAAGCCGTGAGGCACATCAAGCGAAGAAGGCCCAGGCCGGCCAGTTTTGCCACGGCGACCTGTGCAGCTTGGGTGTTTTCCATTGCGTTGTTTTATTTTCTCGCCTATGGTGAATTAATGATGTGGACGCAATGCGATTAGGCTGTAGGGCATCACCTCCTTTTCTTCTGTTCATGGGATGGGACATGTTTTGTGGAAGATTGGAAAACCATGACGGTGTCCTGTTTATTTATCGAAAAGATTTCCTGGGTTGAAAGGACCATTGGGGAAACCAGTCTTCCAAGAAGGGAATGATATGCCCCTTGCAGCTGTTTTGATGGATGTGACGGCGTGACGGGTCGCGTTTTTTAACAACAGGGATGCTTCCATTGCCTTGCAGGACATTTGTATTGGAGAATGTGGGGGGTTGCTTGCAGCAAGCGAAAGGGCTGCCCCCAGATGCAGAGTACAAGGTCCAGCTGGCATACCTTTACCAGCTGAAGCAGCTGAAAGATGTCAGTTGAAACCGCAACTTCTTGGTCATCATAAATTTTAAGACTATCGAACGGACCTTCGCAGTTGAGATCTTGCTATCAAAGGGTCGAACATTTTCACGTTGAAAAAATTCAGTCAGACAGCGCCAGTCGTTACATTTTATTCTTTCAGCCGCTGTGGGCTCACAATAGCACAGCAACTGTGGCACAACATTTGATTTTATGAATGAACACCGGCCATGGGGCAAAGGACGCAGATTGTATATATATCCTACTAAGCACAGGGCTGTGAAACACCGCCCTTCAACAGCACGATTGCCGCATGCGCGGGTGAAAGCTCTTGCGTTGGGCCTGTGTGGCCGCCATGCCTCTGTGTGACTTGTTTCTGGGGTCTGATGGCCCTAATGAGAGCCAGGAGCTACAGCCGCAGTTTCTTCAAATGATGGTCGGCAGGTATCCAAAACTTTCCAATGATTCAGGGAACCGTGTTGGCAAATTTGAACCTGGTCGGTTGTCTCACAAAAATAGGCACCCCAGAAGTCACCAAAATACACTATTTTCACTGATCGCATTTTATGAAAAGTTTTGAAACTTCGGGGGCTGGCAGACTTTAACCCAAGTCGAAAATTATTCAACGTTGGAAGCAGGATGAAGCAGGAGGATCGAGTTCAGTTTCTGACCTCCCGTCTGGTCCTTGTTGAGCTGTGGTTGCAGATGACTTGTCAACAGCGGTTTATAGATTTGTAGATATGTTAAGTGTTGTGCTTGTTAAACAAGTACAAGCCCTTGTCTTGTGCTAAGTCTTGAACTTCCGTTTATCTTCTTTCCTCTGTGTCCTTCTCCTGCTCCTCGCCCCTAAGTAGAAAAGGGAACAGCATACCGGTCAACACTGGAATGCCTGCAACGTTGTCAAAAGAACAGTGGCAAAACTAAACATTGAAATCCACAATTTCTTGTACATACTTTGGATGACAAAGATGTCAAACGTTCTGAACCTGACATGTCAGATTCAAAGGTTGATGCTGTACATCTCATGTCACTTCTAACTCAGTGAATACCAACAGTGGTATCCATGTTCAAAGTGGGTGGAGTGGGCTGGTGACTCAAACTAAAGCGTTTGGGTTTAATTTGTTATGAAAGACGCATTCCAATATCAAAATTCAATATCATGTTCCGAGCAAATGTGTGCACGTGTGAGTCAACCTCTGTTTGAAAAGGTGGCTTGCGCTTACTTTCGAATTTTAATCGAGTTTCACAACAGGGGCAGGGGGACTGCCTGACTTGTAATAGTGACAGTCCAACGAAGAGGCTGTTGCAAGTCACTGCAATGGATTCTGGATGCAGAATCCACATCACATGCCTGATCAGTTTTAACGTGTACTTTCAATTTTTCAAGCTTGTATCATGGCTAGGTGGCCAACCATCGACGACTTGCAGTCTTGCAAGTGTGTGTGTGTGTGTCGCTCCATCTGCGCGCGCGCGTGTGTGTGTGTTTGTGTTTGTGTGTGCACCGCAGTGTTTTTTCAAATCCATAGCGGGGGGGCAGCCCTGTAAACATACATGGTTGCCCAACGAAGGGCCATGCCACGGCTGATATGGCTTCTGGTCAACTGCGCATGCCCGTGGGGTGACTTTTGTGAAGCTGTTGACTATGATGTTTCTTTGCGGCAAAAATGCCAGCCATTGCAAAGAGGCTAACCCAAGGACCTCCACGGCGTTTTGCTGTTCCACAAGGCCCCGGACTCCGCAAGGCGAACCCTACCTCATCTGGAGAACATTCCTGATCAGGCGTTAGTGACCAGTGCGTGTGGGTCTCTCTCTCTCTCTCTGTGTGCGTCTTTGGGCGGTGTGGTGTGGATGGTTGGCGGTGTGGGCTGTGTGTATGTGCCATCCGTAGGGATGTCAACCTTCGCCATTTTTCAATTTGAGATCCAATCTTTAGCAGTAGTCAGCAGGGGGCAAGGAACCCATGACTGTCTATGCCGGCCAACGCAGACCAGACGCACCGATCTCACTGCGATGGCCATCGGCCAAGCTCAAAACCGGCATGTTGTACTGCTTGCAATCCCTGCATGTGTCTTCTATTATCCGTTTAATTTCATATCGCGCGGTTTTCGCAATCTGGAACCATATTCCTCCACGGCATTATCTAGTGGAACTTCGTTGTGGACTTTGCCGTGATGATCGGCAGTATTTCCTGGATGTATTTGTTGTTCTTTCGGAATCTACCTCTAGGCTCACAGGGATCGAATTCCCAACAGATCACTGCTGGGGCTTTCCTTATTGACTTAAGGCATGTAGTGTGTGTGCGGTGGGTTCAACCGATGTTGGCCCTGGGTCCAGGAGCAAACTGATGATGATGATGATGATGACGATGGTCATCATGGGGCGCCTGCCAGGCACCACAGCAAGCCGTCGGCTGGGCCAGCACACAGCAAGATGGTTCGCTTCGGGCTTCAGAATGCTGCGCTACGGAAGATCGAATCGGCCACTGCTGCACAGGAAGACCCATGTAGCAACCTTGTGCGGACAGTGTTTGGCCCGTGGATGTCGCACGCGATTGCTAGTGGCACGAGGTTCAGTCAGATACCTTACCTTGTCTTGCCCACCAAGACGGTCAGTTTTCACCTTTAATTTTAGCGTTTTGGGCATGCACCAATATATCCAATCAAAGTGCAATAGCTTTAATCGGGGGATGGCAAGATCAGCTGGCACCAATCCAACCACCGATGCAAGGAACAGAGTAGTCGTCAATAACGGTGCTGGAAATGCAGATTGTTTCGACTACCAGAGCGACACCTCAAAGTCACTAGCTCGACAGAAGGCAATTGGATTGCATTCGCATGTTGTTGCTCAGCAGAAGAACTTCAAGAATTGGCTCACCAAGACCCCATCGCGAAATGCTGTAGCAACCCAGACTGTGTTTGAGTATTTCAACAACGTCTTTTTGCCACTTCTTTTGCGATGCCAACTGTCAAGTTGTTGAATCTCATTGCTGTCAAAAATGGTTTTCTAAATTCTGTCTGATGTTCTTGGCCTATGACACGTTGGAGAACAACAGGTTGTTGTGGTGGCTGATGACACCAACATCTGGGTGAACAACGCCGGGGTTGCTTACAAGAAAGATGCTTTGGGAGTTATGCAGAAGGCTGTGGGCAAGGGCCAGGCCAAAGTCCAAGCTTTGCTTGGCATGATTTGGACAGTTGCCCTTGACCGTGTTGACCAGAGCGTGGGGATTGACCTTGTCAGAATGCATTCGCCAAGCCAAGTCCTGCCCAAGGCCAATGCCGCCACAATCCTTTCCAGGATGAGGCGATGGGGTATCTATACTAGTGCTGATCCGGGCTCCGCCGACGCATATGGAGGCCAAGAAGTGTACACTGGTTTTTCTCAAGTGCCGCTGAAAATGTTGATTACCTGCACAGATGCTCTTCCTACCAATCATTTGGTCCAAGCTATGTCCATGCAAGACTGGCGCCGGAAGGCAGCAGCCGGGGATTTCAACGCAGCCACTACCTTGCATGTAATGTTTACATGCATGCACCACGCCGCTTGCTTAGCCAAAAAGCCGGGCCTCCTTTCTGTTCCAAACTTGTGCTCGAATATGGTGAGGCTGACTCGGGCAATGAAATCTTCAAAATTCCAAGACAACTTTGAGAAGGCATTGGCTGGAATCGCCGAGCGAATAGACAGAAGGGTTGTCCCTGAACTTCCTTCGTCCGTGAAGACATGGTGGGAAAACAATGGCGCTCTGGTGAAGATGGCTTTGAGTGGCTTGCCGCCCGAATCCCAGGAAATCATTTTGGCTGTGTTTAATGATCCATGGCGGTTCGATCCCAATACCTGGCGTGATGGCTGCTTCGTGCATTGGCGCACAGCAGGGTGTTGTCCATCTGCAGCTGAAGCAAAAGTGAAAACCCGCGAAGCGCTGCGACGGCTCTGCGAGGATTATCCAGCCATTCCACTGCTGTATAGGTGGAAGCACTGGGAGCCAGCTCTCAATTGGGCAATCAGGGGAACCTTTTGCAATGGTGTGCTGCAATATGCTTTGTCCATGTGCTCTGATGAATCTTCTGTCGCAAAATTTGCTGATCTCGACCCTGACTCTCCAGATTTGAGCTTTTCCCTCAAGCAAGAAGTTCGGTTGACAAAATCAGTGGCTTTCTTGACCAGCGACAGCATACGGCAAGACTTGGGTGTGTCATTCTTGGTGTCGAATCCGCTGGCCGATTTCATGGACCACGTCAGCTTTATTGAGACTTCTCGGTCCCGGGTGAACCTGAAGGAGTGTGGCCTGAAGTTGCTCGGCTCCACGTCCGTCGCCACTGTGGAGTCACTGCGGTTGCTCAATTGGAAGTTGCTCAACGGGGAAAAGATCCTTGGCCCTAGTCAACTTGAATGTTTTTTCTTTTTGCATCCCAAAGCTCAAGAAAAGCGTGCGATTAGCGCTTCAGATTTGGCAATCCGACCTGAAGGATACTCTTGTATAGATTACAACCTTTTATCTTTTTCTTACGTTCTAGATTCTAGCCATATCCTCCCAAGATTGATGCGCAAGGATCGTGGAGACTTTGGCCGAATACTCGACGATTCTCCAGGCTGTACCAGATTCAGAACTATTCGATATGTTTGGCCTGGATCTCGGCACGGCTTTCCCACATGTGTTTTGCACCATGTGTGATACATGGCGCCGTTTGAGTCTTCCAAGTCAGCGTGGATGGGTGCAATTACTTGGGACCTTCTTTACATCGGTGGAAGATGCCTCAAACACCTTGCAAGGACTGGCTATGGCTGATCGTCCATGCTGCCATGGTGATGACTGTACGAGGGTTGCGCTTGCTGTGACCAATCAAGGCACGGATTTGGCCATGGTTGAAGAGCTTCTGAAATTGTTTGGTGAAGCGCTCTACCATTTGCCAGCGAGTTCAGTGAACGTTGAGAAATTGTACGCCAACACCCAAATCTTGTGCGCTGCGCACAAGGCCGGTAGGAAGCCAGCAACGATTCAACAGAACACTTACATTATGAGTTGCAGTCAAGAACACCAAAAATTCAAGGAAGAAGTGATGTCAGAAACCTGTGGCAAAGTGAAGTTGACCTCAGCTCGGTTGCTGCATCAACGTTGTGCATCCACCACGATGCCATCCAAACCAGTGACCCATGTCAAACAGGCAAGAGGCGGAAACAGAACGCCCAGGAATGTTGCGATCCTTGGAATTTCCATTCACAAGTTGTCTGTAATTTGTCAAATGTCCTGGGTGAGCATGGAGATCCCGGGGCCTGGGCACTAGCGCTAAGTTTGGGTTTCAACAAGTTCTCCAAGTACCATGATTCTTTCCTACAGAATCAGCTCAGCTCAGGAAGGCTTGTGGCATGGGCAAAACCATGAAGCCTCTCCGTCGCAAGCGAAAGGTGACAGGGTATTGTTTGTTCATTCAAGAAAGAGTGAAAGGATGCGGTCTCCGCATTGGCAGTGCCGACTACAAAGACAAAGTGCGAGACGTCACCTGCCAGTGGCGAGCATTGCCTGCAGGCGAAAAGAGCTTGTTTGAGCAGATGGCAATCAGGCAACAAACCGAGCGCCAGGCCATGTCCAGAATGCCTTTGTCTGCCAACAGTGAAAGCTCTCTCTTGCTGCTCGGGCATGCAGTATGGATGCGAAGGTTAGGCAAACTATCTAATAATAACAGTAGTAGTAGTTGTTGTTGTTGTTGCTGCTGTTGTTGTTGTTGCTGTTAGTACTAGTACTCGTAATAGTACTAGTAGCAGTATATACGCATACCGCATACTACCAGACCCATGGAATCAATCTTGTTAGCCGGGCCGCCTTCAGAATTAATTTGTTTCTTGCTTTTTTTGCGTTCAAGGACAAAAGCTCAGCGCAAACGGCTTTTGCAAGCCCGCCTTGACAAGTCTTTGGCAGCTGCTGCAGACCATTCTGTTTGGAACTACGGGCTTTCTTTGGGAAATTTGAATGCGGCCTTGCGGCCTGAACTTGTGGACGAGACCGTTGATTTCAATTCTGCTGCGGAGAAGCTCCGGGATTTCTTTGATTACGATGATGTCATTCAGCAGAACCCGCTAGAGAGCCCAAAGCTCTTCAGGAGTTGCCAGGAAAGGCACCCCGGCCTTTGCGACAGCCACAGAGCAGCTTCCTTTGTCGTTCAGATGGCTGAACACCTTCAGCAACATTTGGAAAAGCAGAAGACCAATTTACCTGCCTTGTGCTGCTTTCGGTTTTCCATCAGCGCCGGTGCGTCATCTTCTTCCTCGAAGCCAGCATTCTTCAGAACTTGGTATATGCTGGGTTGCGTTAGAAAGAAGCCCCTTTGCCATGTGTTCGCGCCCATGGACCCATTCCCTGCTGTGGAGAAAGGTTTGGCTTTTCAGGTTTGTGCCCGAACGGGCTGCTTGAAGCTTTGTACCTCCTACAGCATCTTGGTAGCTTCCGTTGATGAGGCTATTGGGCTCGGCGCCAACTATGAAGATTTGGCCTTCAACGTCTCAATCCACCCATTCCACATGGAATCATATCTCCAACATCCGAACCTTGCCATTTACAAACAGCATTTGGCCGAGTTCTGGATTGGGAAAGACTGCGACCCGCCCAGCTCTGCCAGACAGGCCAAATCAAAAGAGATCATTGCTTTACCCTTTGGATTGGAGATTTCGCAAAAGCCGAAGTCCAAGAAGCGGGCAGTTCCAGAGAAAGATGTTGATTTTGAGCAACCGGGGCCCAAGAAGCCAAGGGGAACACGACAGAAGAAAGGCGATCAGACCAAACATGATGAAAATGAAGCGCCAGCCAGCGCAAACACAGGGACAGGCAAGGAAATGGATGGCGATGCGAATGCTGCTGGTGATGATTATGGAACAGTTTTGTCATCTTCGCAAATGGAGCAGCTGAAACTAGCCATGCGTGCTGCGCAGGGCTTAGCAGAAGATGATGCCATTTTGCATAAGGAGGCAGCAGATCTGGCAGAGAAGAGACAGAGACTCGGAGCCCAGGCCCGTTTCTTCCACAAGGCCACCGGGATCATATCTTTGAAGGAAGCACAGCGTGCCATGACTTGCTTCTTCTGCGCCAACCGCATCAGCAAAGGAACCCTTCGGTTCGAATTTGCGTTCCACAAGAACAAGCCCCAGCGCTCGATCCATACGGAATGTACCCGGCAAATGTCGCCAGGCTCAGAAGAGTTAAAATCTTCTTTGGAGTGGTTGGAGAAGGAGCTGGCAAATGGCAATGCCGCCTCCCTTGAAAGGACAGCAATCAAGGAGGCGTTGTCTGCTCTGCGGACGATTGACACTTCAGTTTGATCGGCCTGCCGAATCAGGAAAAAGATTTCTGCAAAATGTTCTTCGAGTTTGTAGGCAAAGTTTAGAGGAGGCAGGTCTCCAAAAGAAGATTTGATTTTCTGAGATTGTTATGACAGGCTTGTCGACCTTTGTGGAACAGCATGAGTTTCTTTGTGATCTGCCAACCTATGCAACCTTCTGATTCCCAAATATGTAAGAGGCGTCCAAACGGAGGCGAGCGGACGGCAAATCCTTTTCTTTTCATGTTCCCACCTTGGGGCCATCCAAAAGCTTCCGCTCTTTTTCGCGCTTCTTGATTGGAGATCCATTTTCCCCTGCTCCGTATCATTTTGCAAAACACTTTGCTGCCATGCTTTCCAGCCAGGCACCCATTGATTTCATCCGGAAAGGAAAGCTGGCGACAGGTGAAGAAGTAGGACTCGAGTTGCTGAAAGGGTATGCCGTGCGAGTGGTGACTCTGAGGTGAGGTGGGACAAGTGATAAAGTGGTGGCCAGCTACAGCCTCTTCATTTATGTTTTCTAGGTTTTTCCCCAAGAGTTTTTAGGCTGTGAATATTGCAGTTTTCCCAGCGGGTTCAATGTTTCTAGCTTCACATATTTGGCGTGTGCTTTCTCAAAGGCAAGCATTTCCCATTTAGAGTCCAAAGAGATCATCGCCCACTGGCAGGTGCAATTCCAGCTGTCAAGATTGGGTACACATGATTCATGATATATGATCACATCTCATCCCTGTCCAGCAAATAGCACTGGTTGATCATATTCCAGCTTGAATGCAGCCCACATCGTCACTTGATGGCAGGTCGTCCGATTTTGGTTTGCCATTGGTGCGAGGCAGGCTCTACTTCATCGGCTGTGAAATTTTTACGGCCGATGGTGAGAACACAAACAACACGGAGGGTGCCCTGGACCGATTTTTTCGTTTTATTTTAGGGCTCGTGACGCAGCTAGCTTCTTTTGAACCTTCGCAGGCGTCTGCCACTGCGAAGAACTAAGTAGCAGCAGGTAAAATCACCCACAAGCCGCGCAAAACATTGACAGAAAAGAGACACACCCATGGCTTGAGTGCGGGTTGTCGCCTGCAGGACATGCTTTGCCACGTGGTTACCACACTCTTCCAAGATCCACCAATGGAGACAGCGACGGTGACGGAGTATGTGCAATGGGTCCAATCACTTGGCGTCGAGTGTGACATAGAGGCCAGGTATGCATGCTGCATTTGCGCCCTCACTTTAATCTCTCGAATCGCACTTTCTCCTTCATATTTTCGACTGCGTTTCGCTTGCGTCTCGCTTTTCCCTGGGGTGTCTGGGTTGTGTCTGGGTTTTGTCTCACTTTTCCCTGGGGTGTCTGGGTTGTGTCTGGGTTGTGTCTCACTTTTCCTTGGGGTGTCTGGGTCGTGTCTGGGTCGTGTCTGGGTGTGTCTGGGTTGTGTCTGGGTTGTGTCTGGGTTGTGTCTGGGTTGTGTCTGGGTTGTGTCTGGGTTGTGTCTGGGTTGTGTCTGGGTCGTGTCTCGGTCGTGTCTCGGTCGTGTCTGGGTTGTGTGTGGGTTGTGTCTGGGTCGTGTCTGGGTCGTGTCTGGGTCGTGTCTGGGTCGTGTCTGGGTTGTGTCTGGGTTGTGTCTGGGTTGTGTCTGGGTTGTGTCTGGGTTGTGTCTGGGTTGTGTCTGGGTTGTGTCTGGGTCGTGTGTCTGGGTTGTGTCTGGGTCGTGTCTGGGTCGTGTCTGGGTCGTGTCTGGGTCGTGTCTGGGTTGTGTCTGGGTTGTGTGGGTTGTGTCTGGGTTGTGTCTGGGTTGTGTCTGGGTTGTGTCTGGGTCGTGTCTGGGTCGTGTCTGGGTTGTGGGTCTGGGTTGTGTCTGGGTTGTGTCTGGGTTGTGTCTGGGTTGTGTCTGGGTTGTGTCTGGGTTGTGTCTGGGTTGTGTCTGGGTTGTGTCTGGGTTGTGTCTGGGTTGTGTCTGGGTTGTGTCTGGGTTGTGTCTGGGTCGTGTCTGGGTTGTGTCTGGGTCTGTGTGTCTGGGTTGTGTCTGGGTTGTGTCTGGGTTGTGTCTGGGTTGTGTCTGGGTTGTGTCTGGGTTGTGTCTGGGTCGTGTCTGGGTAGTGTCTGGACACAGTGGGCATGTCGCGGGCTAGTGGGCAAGCTTCGCGGGTGTTGTGAAGTACCGTGCGACGCAACTTTATAGGGGAAAGTGCTTGCGTAGTTTTGGGGCGCCATGCAGAAGTGCTGTTTCATCCATGCAAGGTGCGGGTCGGGGCTTGCTGCTTTACCGCAATGCACATTGCTCGTCTTGGTTTGAGCCTTACCTTATTCAATACATATAGACTGCTACTCCCGGGTGCGGTGTACATATACATTTATTTATCCATTCATTTATTTATTTTTATTTATTTATTATTTGTCGTTTTAATTATTTATTTTTATTTGCATTTATTTTTATTTATTTATATTTTATTTATTTATTTATCTATCTATCAATCTAATCTAATCTAATCTAATCCAATCTAACCTAACCTAATCTAATCTAATCTTATCTTATCTATCTATCTATCTATCTATCTATCTATCTATGTGTTTTTTTATTTAGTATATAAATAAATATATATATATACATATATTCTATAATCGTAACATATTAAGTAAATAAATATTTCTAAATATATATACCGCCTATATATATATATTGTACCCTTCAGGATATGTCTGGTTTACGTGCAGTTAGCCGTGCAGTTAGCCGTGCATTTGCCCTTTTCTTCTGCATATGCTGCATTTGATTGTTTGATGCCCCGCGGTCGAGCCAAAATAGGGAAGTCCTCCGCTGGGACAGAAGGTGGCTTGTAGAACTAGCATGTGCGTGTTTATTTTATTTTGAGATATATGATCTTTTTTGAATATATTTGCACGCGGAGTCAGATTTATGTCATAGGATTGGGGTGAATCACTGGACCTTGACATCTTGGGTTCCTCTGTGATGTTTGGGTTGATGTTGTTGGCTTTTGCTTATCAAGGCAAATAATGGAATCGTGTCTAGAAGGTGGGATTTGAAAGCTGGGCCGATGCAAATTGCCCAAGGCTGACGATCGCTTCAAAACTGTGACAAATTAATTGTTGGCAAGACTTGCGATGCTGCTTTGTTTGCCGAGATGAGACCATTGGAGCAAGAATACGTGGGAGTAGTCGAAGCCCAATTTTTGCTTGAGTGCCAATTCGGTCAAGGACGGTTGCTGATAAGTTTGATCTGTTTGCTTCCGGGCTCCAATCTTCAATCGCAGCCATTTGTGCTTTTGCAGATTTTCAAGTGCCGCACTTTCGCGTCTCCTGTCCGGCTAGGCAACCATGAATGTGCCGCCAGGTGAAGCTTCTTTGTTCGGTGATGGTGACGCTGAGCCGGCTGCGGTCGTCTCACAGTTTCCAACTGCCGCTGACGGCGGCATTGCAGGGGTCCATCCATCATTTTCCAGGCCCTTCGCCAGCTTGAAGATTTGCGACCAGTGCGGGCAGGAATTCGGAAAGGTTGATTCTTTTGCCCCGGAAGGCTCGAATGTCACCCTTCGTTGCTCGAAATATAAGATGAACAATAAGACTGGAATGCGCGACATCCCTCATGGAAGTGAGTGCTTCCCATGCCAGGCTCATTTCTGGCAAAGTTTTTTTTGACAAAACATCTGCAATCCCCCGCCATAGCTTGTCATTCAGCAACACTTGCTCTTGCAGCTGCCATGCCCTGCAGAAAACCCGGTTCAACACCTTCGGCAAGATGGACATTGCAGAGCTGACGGAACTGCGCCAGAAACATCCGGAGACTGCGGGTTGCCGAGATGAGATGCAATTCAATTAGTCATCTTCTGCCCTGATTCCTTGACCGGTCCTATGGCCCAAATCGGTTTGATGCAATATGTTGCCAAGTCACAAGAATTGATCAAATTCATAATGCAATATGTTGCCTGCTTTGTGAGCATCCCTTTGGGGTTTGCCTCGTCAGGAGATTGGAGAGCGGTGGGAAGCACGGCGGGCAGAGAATGCCATCCCGCATAAACGTGTCACCGCCAGCCATATGGATGTCTCGGCCTTCAAGCAGAAGGAGAGCTATTTCGACAAGTTCGAAGAGCTTGACTGGTACCCCTTGGATTCCTACATTCGGAAGGTGGCAGGCGATGCCGTGCTTCGCAATTTGGCTTCCGAGGCTCAGAAGATCGAATTTGTCACCAAGGAGCTTCGGCAAAAAATCCAATATGACAATGGATCGCCAGGGGTAACAGTCCGAGTGCATGATGATGGCAGGAAAAGGATCAATGCCGGCACCAGGACTGGGCTCACCAAGCGGCAAGACTTTCAGGCCGCAGACACCGAGGGTGTGGAGCAAATCTTTCGAACCTACCAGCGGGGCAGTGGAAACCTATTCTCTCAGGCGATGTCTCTGGAACGTGTGTCTGAACAATTCCAGCTCGCTGAGTGCGAGGATTGCCAGCAGTTGTTTGGCTCTTGTAAGTCATGCACATCTTGTTTTGATAGACTTTTTTGGGGCAGCTTCACCCAATTCGGCCAGACAACCAATATTAAAAAGAAGGTTATAAAGGGCCAAGCTATACTTGCATCGTCGTGGCCATGTCAGTAGCGATTCAGAGATGCCCTCTCACTGAACACAGAATTTTGAAACAAACCTTGATGATGCTTTACTTGCTGCATCCCGGCTTCAGGAGGACGCTGACATGCTACGATCAGACCAGGACATTGACGACTGTGAGCCTTCCTTGGCCTTGACCTTCGACGTGTTTGACGCAGAGAGTGCTACACCCATGCCAAGCAACACCCACTCCCACCGCGGAAAAGGCAAGGGCGGGAAGGCAAAGCTGGCTGCAGTGATGCCAAATGCGGATGATGATGTCGTGATGGGTGGGGGTGGCTTCGAAGACCACCGACCAATGGAGCCAGATCAAGAAGCAAAGGGCAAAAAGGGTGGAAAGGGGAAAGGCAAGAAAGGCAAGGACCAGGCTCAGGTGATTCCATCTTCCGCTTCTGGCCCCTTGCAGAAGAAGCAGCTCGAGGCTTTGCAGAAGGCCCAAGATCTGCTTAACAAGACCAAGCCAACTTTGAGCGATGAAGCGATTTGGAACAACAATACGCGGCGCCGGGTCATTGACGCTGCGATCAAATCCCTGACCACTGCAGATGGAGCCCTCCTTCCGATTGTGGACATCTACAAGCCAGCCGAAGAATTGAGCAGGGCGATCACTGCTTGGTGCGACAACTTGGAGGTACGCTTCACATTGCTTTCCAGCTTTCGATCTTCGCCCTTTCAGTACTTGGTTGCTGGCAATTTGGATGACGCAACCTTCAACCAGCTCTTGGCAATGCAAACGTCGATGCTGAGCACATTGATCACCCATGTGGCGAGCATTGCGTTAAAGGGGATTGAGCAGGACTGATTAGCCGTACAGGGTTTGGGCGTTGGGGGTGCATGCGTTGCACAGATTGCAGTCTGGCAGCGAACCATGCACAGAAATATGAAACTTGGGCATACCGCTCCCTGATTCCTTCCGCCATACATTCCAAACCCAACATGTTGCGATGGTTGACTTCAGGATGGCGCTAAAGGGGCTGAGGCTGCTCAGCGCTTTTTCAATGTGATTTCGTGCAGCAATGAGCGCATTTTGTCCGTTGGCACCATCCAGTCAAAGATTGCACGTCAATCCGGAGATAACGTGACTGAGAAGAACGCGGAGCTTGGATCATCAATCGCTAGCAGCTTGCAGATGCAACTGATGGCCTTGTACTACGACCGCCTCTTCCGCGCGAAGAATCCAGAGAAGTTCCGGCAGATCCTGGATTTGTGCTTTGGTCAGCAGTTAGGTTGCTGAGCAAACCATATGGTCGTCACGTCAGCAACGACAGCACACGTCACGACAATGGTGCCCAATGCAGAAACCCTGCGCTTGGATTGTTGCAATGTCTGGAGGTTTGATGAAAATTGATTTGCTTCAGGTGCCCAACTCCCAAGTTCGACATCTCCCAGTTGAATCCTACTTGGAAGCCGCCTCCAACTGAGTTGGGATCGAAGGCCGAGTACTGCACTGGGATTTGCTTTGACGTGCAAGTTCTCCGAACTATGCTGACCAACTGGGAGAAGGCGGGGTGTAAATTGTTCTAAACCCTTCTGCTTCTTTTGACATAGGAAGTGGGGACGGGGACTTGTAGTTTGGGCCCAGAAGATGTCTCACGATCACCGCCGGGTTCTTTCCATTGGATCCTCCAACCGATCCTCCAAAATCGATATGGTTGATTTCTAGCACAGCGGTTGAAGCTGCCAAGATATGTCATTCCATATATCGATCCTTGAGGCTTCGCAGCTCGAACTCTACATTGCCAAGATGTCGGTCCAGCTGAAACCGGTGCTTTCGGTGCGTGTGCAAACGCTCTTGCGTAATGCCCAGGGAGGCTTGAAGACCCTCGCTTGAATTGTTCTGGGAGATGTGAAGGGGACCTTGAACAAAAGAACAGCATGTTTTTTTCCTTGTGTATGTGTGCTTGTGCCAAATTAGTATAGGCCAGCCCGCCTTGGAACCCAAGCAGAACGAGTGTTGCCATAGGCTCTTGGGGCCTCTTGTGTCCCCAGAGTTTGGATGTGGGATTGCCTTCGCTTCGCCTTTTGGGTTTGCCTTGAGGCCACTTTGGTCTGGGATGGAAGCTGCAAGCAAGAAAGCTGTCTCGCCATCTTCCATGTCTGCCGAAGCAAAGGTTGCCATGAATGCGGTTTCGACGGAGACACTGGAGGATGTGATGCAGAATAAGGACAATTTCCACAAGTTCCTGGAGACAGAGACTTGCCCTATATAGTTGCAGAAAAGAAGGTTGAATATAGAAGCATCCAACAGAAACCGTCATAGGAATTAGCCATTTCCAGCCAGCTGGCTGATTTGAAAAGCAGGCAGGTACGTATAATTATGTTCAAGATGGGAGGAAGCAATGTGTTCCCGGCATCGGGATATATACAGCAAGTCAGTAAGAAAGTAAAAAGGGCACCTTGGGGTTGTGTGAGTCGGGTGTTCACTTTCTCCTGCAATTCCGCGCGTGCATCAGAGACTATTGGTGTGATGCTCATGTTCTGTTGCACATGTGGGTGATGCTGCGCTAGAGCATGCTCAAAGCACTTGCAATCGCACATGCACACACACACACAAACACACCCAGACGCACACGCACACGCACACACGCACACGCACACGCACAAACACACACACACACGCGCGCGCGCACACGCACGCAGAACCGCAAAACGCAGACACGCAAGAAACGCAAGAAACGCAAGAAACGCAGAAAGGCAGAAACGCACAAACGCGCACGCCTGCGCGTGCGCACGCAGGCACGCAGGCACGCAGGCACGCAGGCACGCACGCACGCACCCACGCACGCACCCACGCACGCACCCACGCACGCACCCACGCACGCACCCACGCACAAACAAACAAACAAACAAACAAAGAAACAAACAAACAAACAAACAAACACACACACACACACGCACACGCACACACGCGCACACACATCAAATGCTATATACATTTTTCCTGCAGTGGGCACAGCTTGTGGGCCATCAGGGTCATTGCAGTTACTTTGATGAATGGGTTGGTGATGATGAAAAATCAGGCGATGATGATGAGGATGAAAATGAGGAACAAGTCGATGATGATCATGGCGATCACTCAATGATGGTGGCCATTGTCTTGATTTTCTGACGCGCTGGTGTGCTGCTGTGTTGGTGCTGCTTTGCTGGTGCTGCTATATTGCTGGTGCTGCTATGATACTGGTGCTGCGGATGGTGATGATGTGAGGACGGTGACGATGACGGTGATGGTGATGATGATGATGATGATGACGATGATGCTGATGCTGCTGCTGATGATGATGATGATGCTGATACTGGTGATGTCTCTTGTCTCTTCTCTCTTCTCTTTTCTCTCTTCTCTCTTCTCTCTTCTCTCTTCGCTCTTCGCTCTTCGCTCTTCTCTCTTCTCTCTTCTCTCTTCTCTCTTCTCTCTTCGCTCTTCGCTCTTCGCTCTTCTCTCTTCTCTCTTCGCTCTTCGCTCTTCGCTCTTCGCTCTTCGCTCTTCGCTCTTCGCTCTTCGCTCTTCTCTCTTCGCTCTTCGCTCTTTGCTCTTCGACCCTCTCTCTTCTCTTCTCTCTTCTTTCTTCTCTCTTCTCTCTTCTCTCTTCTCTCTTCTCTCTTCTCTCTTCTCTCTTCTCTCTCTTCTCTCTCTTCTCTCTCTTCTCTCTCTTCTCTCGCTTATCTCTCTCTCTTCTCTCTCTCTCTCTCTCTCTCCCCCCCCCTCTCTCTCTCTCCCTCCATTCCTCCCTCCCCTCCCTCCCTCTCTTTTGTTGCGGCTTCGCCGGTCCAAGCTGGCCCCGGCTGAAAAGCCTTGACATTTTCAGTATATACATACTGAAATACATTATACGTAATTGAAGTATATAATAGTATATATATATATGGGAGGGTTCCCAAGCGGACCGGTAGCCCAAAACATCCAAATCTAGATTTTTGTTCCTGAAACCTATGGTTTGGGGGATCACCTATTTAAAGAATGTATATGTATGTACATAAATATATATATATATAATTTGTGTATTTTTGTTATATGAGATATGACATGTATATTTTGGTCTTTCAACTTAAAAAAAACATATTAGTGCATATTCGGTGTTTTATTTGGCCGGATGTCGCCGGCTGAGGATTACATATTTGCATTTCCTTGGCAACACACAACAGACTTCTTTAGCCTTTCGTTTGTGTACTCCCAAACCACTTTGCCAAGGTCAGGGTATAAAAACCATCTAGGACCTCTAGAATCTAGAACCATCTTCAGGGAAGTCACCCTGACTCAGGAAACTTGTGCAGGGTTGGTTCGCCTGGGGAAGATGCACGACTCCATCGAAGCTATGCCTGCGTCCTGCGGTCTGAGCGACGAACAGAAAACGGAAATCCTGAAGATGTTTGGAGACGTTGCGCCTTGGGCTTACAGTGGAAACATGTTTTTTGGATACCGCCATTAAATTTTCATTTTCTGAACCATGTGTTGAAGCTCTCCGACTTTCAGGTGTCTTCTGTCAAAACCCATGGTGTGAGCTTCTTCGAGGAGTTGGTGAATAAGTTGTGTGGTGCTTTTTGGACAAGCCATGAGCCCGCCATTGATGACAACAATGCTGCCATGGCTGCCTTCAGGCAGCCAACGCTTCTGCAGGGCGCATCGGACCTCTTCCACATGGCTAAGGTGCCTTCGCAGGCAACAGCCACTCCTAAATGCCATCATCAAACTCATGTTCTGGCGGAGACGGGGCACAGCTAGCAGCGAGGGCATGTTGAGCGAGGGAGAGGGAGTGTGTGTGTGTGTGCGTGTGTTGTGCGAAAGTTCACCAGTGAAGCTGAGGTGCTCCCGGATTCCATCAGCTTCGGTGACACAGTTTCCAAGTGTCTTCTGGTCCTGTTGAGCCTGCGCAAGACTTTGCTGGCGGTTGAGAAGGATTGCAACTTGGGCACGTTTGAAGCTGCGTTCAAAGGCATAGCAAACATTCGGGTTTGCGCGGAGTTTGCGGAGTTGGATTCAAACATTCAGAAAATTCAGCAGCTTCTTCCGCCCCCTGCTGAGTCAGGTTGGGCCGGGCTCCATGATGGTGACACAGGAGCAACCAAATTAATTTTAGAATCTAAGACCAGGTGAAAACTCAGTGATGACTGTGCAACACGACATAATAATTTAATATGCTTTCATTTCACATGGCACGATGGCCCAACTGAACATGTGTGTGCCGTCAGCTGTGCCTAGAGTGTCTGCCCTACTTCGGTGCCAAGTACTTGGGTTTTGATGGTCCCCTTTCCTTGGGGCCCAACGAATGGAATTTCGTTCGACATGGCCAGGTGGAGAAGCCTCCGACCCCGCATCTTTGCTTCCAAAGTTCCTCGATATTGCCAAGAAGTTGAAATCGCTGCAGTCGGTCTCCGACCAGAAAGATCATGCATGGATCACCTACTTGTCCAAGCATGGAAGCGTGAAGGAGCTCTTGTCCTTAGACACATCGACCAAGGCCGCCATGTCCGTGAAAGCAGATGGACTTTTGCGTGCCATCGAAATTGTTTACAAGTGGATGGACCCTGACTCTGGTATGGCTGCAACTTTGCAACTTGCTGAGGGCAACGTCGATATCAGCAAGGACCAAGCGAAGGAATTCATTCTCAGGTTCTTGCAGGTCAAGAGCGTGGACATGGACCAATTGGAGCGAGCAGGCTTTGACAAAGCCAGTGAGATGCGCCAGCACATGTGGGAATACGTGAACAAGGTGTTGGGAAAGATTTCTGTCACAATGGACAAACTGAAGGCTGAGGTGAGCGTGGCTGTGAAGTATGAGGGTGTTATCGAGGCAACGCAAAAGTGGGACGAGAGCGCCATGCAGAAGTATCTCGAAATGGACAGCGAGAAGCATGTCAAAGAGTTTGCAACAGGTTGGGATCATCTAGGATAGAAGCCGGGCATCAGCCTAGCAGCTTAAGCATGTGAAATTTGCTGATTGTTGTGGAAATTCCCTCTTTGGTTGTTTCAAAGGTAAAAGGTGAAGTAGCCCAGCACTATGTGATTGAAATATGGCTGCAGTAGGCGGAGTCAAGATCCGCGAGCTTGAAGACACGATCTCTTGCGTTCTGCAAATTCTCGGAGAAGATGGTGCAAAGGGCGATGCTATCCTCGCTAAGTCCTTAGCCCGCGTTCAAAGCGTAGCATTGACCCAACCAACGTCAAAGACCTGCCTCTTGATCGTGGCTTGCATGTGCGGTCTTGAGCTTTTTGCTTCGGCAGCAAAGGAGCCTGCCGCCAAGTTTGCTGAAAAGGTTCCGAAGTACTACAGCTACTGCTCAACGGAACTTCGTCTCATCAAGCGAGATCTACCGAAGCCACTTGTGCAGAAGATTGACAAATGCTTGCAGGACATAAGTTGGCAAAGATCCATGTTGTCTGTATCTCGAGTCCAGATCCATGCAATGCCCCCGCGCAGGATGCCAAGCAGAAGTCGAGCGAGATGCCGCCACCGCCGAGCCCAGCTTTGAGCAATGCTAGCCGCCGTGGCGTGAAAAGGCCAGCGGCTGAAAAGGCGGCCTGAGCGCATGGTGCGGTTCGAAAGCCGGTCCATGAGCAGTAGCCAACCGCATGGACTTTGGCAGCAAATGATAGCCAAAGCTTTTGAAAAACTAGGGCCCATGAGGCGGTGTTTGCTTATGAAGAGAACAACAATAAGTACCAAAGGTTGTGCCACTGTTCTAGAGACGTGCCATGCTGGAATGGATGGTAATTAGAATTGAAGTGGGCACCTCACAGCTGAAAGCTTTGCGGTATGGGCTTTCACCTGTCATGTGAGAGGTGGCCTTAATTCCTTCGCTTGCCCAGTACTGGATTGGAGCATTCGCACAGCAGATCCAAGGAAGGGCATGAAGATGACAGGGGGCGTCAATGCTCACAGGGTGAGTTACACGAACAGCTGCCATGGGTAAGATTTTGGTTTTCATTGTGATTGAACCCCACTGACATTTAGCAAAACCTTATTGCGTGTTTGGTTTGCTTCTGAGCGTGGCTTGTATATATAGTCTGGTCGTTAACCGTGTGGTTTCGTGATGGTAAGGGAATTGCACAGACAGCCCCCGATAGACTAGAGGCCTTTCGCACGATGGTCAGAAGAAGGTTCTGGCTGAATTTTATCGGTGTTAGATTTCAACAGAGCAGAGTTGATTCGACTGCTGTCGGCTGCGGAACAGCAGCCCCAAGCAAATCTTAGAGTTCAGCTGTCAGAAGCGAAAC